AAGTCAATCTACTAGAAATGAGTGACCGATAAAAAGTAATTGTGAGGGGTGAACAAAAAATAATAAATCATCCTACTTGTACAATTAATTTAACAATGTATGAATGGCAGGCATCTCAGCCATCGATTTGGAAAACTATTTTTGGAATCAATGTCAAAAAATTTTACACCTCACTACTTGTCAAATTATTTATACAAATTCATTGCACAAGTAGTACAATTTATATATTTTCCCAAATAAAAGCCTGTTTGAGCCTCTCTCTCTCTCTCTCTCTTTCCTTTTTTTGTTTTGTATGAAAATGCATTTTGGAATAATATTTTGAATTTACGTATAATTTTATTTTATTGAAAAATATATAGTTAATAATAAGCGATAAAAATATATTTTGAAAATTTGGAAAACATTACCACATTTTCCTTGAAAAATGTTACATTCGAGGAAAAAAAATTCTACTTTGACCGTTTGATTGTAATATGAAAATGAAAACCAAATTCCAGAATACAACCACTTGAAGCTACTTTTTTTATTTTTAAAAGAAAATAAATTTCTATAAGTTTGGTGAATTTTTATTTTTCAATTACCTCACCTGCCCAAACAAACGTTAAAAGTCAAACTTTAAGTAATAACTGTTAAAGCGCTCTCTCTCTCTGTCAAGCGCCCACAAGACGAAGGTAGTTTGAGCGAAGAAAAACTGCTTTTGCATTATCATTGCCTCCTCCGACAAATTTTCAATTCTCGAGCTTCCGATTTCCCCCGAGCCTTTTTTTGGTCTAATCAAATTGAAACAAATAGTGCCAATAATCAATTCAAAATGCTTCCACTGATCCACGTTTTGTTACTATTTTCCTCACTGTTACCGTTTTCCCCGTCAATCTGCGCATCGCAGGAGCATCAGTTCAAGGTGGATGGGAAAGTATTGGAACTGGAAGAATCCGATTTCGATGCTTTTATATCAACTTTCGATTATATTCTCGTCGATTTCTACGCCCCTTGGTGTGGCCACTGCAA